AAATATGCAATTATATCTCCAAATCAGTCAGGGGTGAAGTTTATGCCATATGCTTTCCTGAAAAGGATAGAACCTCTAAATCTGACCCATTATAGCATATTATTCAAGGTGAATAAGCAGCTGGTTCATAAATGGTTATTTAAAAATTTTCAGTGTTGAGAAGTAATAATTGGAGAAGTGAAGGTCACTAATAAGTATAATATTTATTTTAAAAGTATATTGTTAGTAAAAGACTAGCTTATGTTGTTATCAGCCTTCAAAATCCTGTGATTTAATTTCTTTATTTATGGGATTTATGGAAATTAATTTTAACTTTCCCTGATCTAAAACCAAGAAATTAAATAGCCAATCTTTCTCTAATATGGATTTAGTCACAGATATCAATACCCTTCCATATTGGTAAAGTGCAATTGTTTTTTTTCTGCTAGAGGCACCTTTCCTAAATACACCAAATTTAAATAGTGAAATAGAATACAGTAAATTGATTTCTTTTATTTCTAAAGAAAGTGCAGATCATATCAGCACTTAATAACAATAATAAATGTGATTATGTTTCATTATTTTCCACCAATCTGAAAAAACAGCACCATTTCCTTGAATGGCATCAGCTGAGAATATTTACGTAGCCTCAGAGCGAGGCAGCTGCTGTCCTGCGCACATCTGTCTGGGCAGACCCTTCTCCTGCCCAGCTTGGCCAGGCCCTGGAACGCTCCAACATGGGAAGGGGCTAAAGTCCTCCAACTTGTCATTCATTTACAGGCAATCACACACTTTGTCAAAGCTTTGGAGCATGTTCAGCACCTTTCATTCAGGCTCAATGGAAGAAGCAATTAGGTTCCTTTGTAGAACAAGATAGCTGGAAATAGGCTTGTAAATTGTGAGCAGGGAAGCCACTTACTGCTTTTTCTTGTGCCTCCCAGGAAGCTACGCGTCTTGTGTACAGTCTTTGTAAGTAATCAGCACCATGAAAAATGCCCAGCTTATATTATCAGTTTCTCTTTCCAAGAAGAGCAAGCTGGCAAGACCCCAGCTAGTGACTAGCTACTCAGGTCAGAGGCCAGCATGTGAGGATTAAATCTTTTGAAAATGCTTATTGGGCTCTGTTTCTTCAGTTCCCAGATTCAATGAAATTAAGTAATATTTTGATGATCAATTTTTACATGCTAAAATATAGTGAAGCACAAAAGAAAGTAGGCTCCTTGGACAGAAAGGGCTGTGCAGAAATGAAATTTCATAATAAGAAATATCTTCTCTGTCTAGTATTTAACAGCTGCACCGGAATAGTCGGTAAATTGAGGCAAGGGGAATGAGTACAAGAGATACTGTGGTTTTGAAAGATTATGTTTTTTGGTGGCAATAGTGACTTAAAGTGTTCCTGCTATCAATATTTTTCTTTCAGCTGTGCTGGTGCTGGGAACCAGATTGGAGAACTGATATAGCTAAAACTAAATAGGAAAAAAGAAATTCTTTGTCTGAGAATTTTTATGCCAGAAATTTTCAGTTTCTCAGTCCAATTCACAGAAAGAATCCAGTTTCTGCATACCAGAGCTGTGCAGAATTGTGATCTACAGCGCATTAAGTGAAAATGCTAGAGGAATTCACACAAAAAAGCACCAGTGCTTCACAGTATACTGCTAATATGGATGTACTCAGAGTGACTAAGCTTAATCCTCTGTCAGATCTCTCCACTCTCATGCAGATCCAAATGACATCTCATGAGGAAACATCTCTTATCCCATATATTATCTTGATCACTGAAGAAACTAACACATAAAATATCTCGATGCATTGTTTACTAAGAGTAAGTAGTTAAGAGGTATATTGTTTGCAAAGCTCAGTGTAAACTTTATGTTGACATGATATCCCATGAGACAAAACATCATGAAAATAAGAATTTGCAGTACGTATGAGGAATTCTTTTCCAGCAGTACAGGGAGACTGTTAATAATGTATTCTCTGATATTTTAATGCTTTATATTTTTAATATGTACTTCATAGTAAGTGCTTTATAACACAGAAAGTCTAGGAAGAATAAGATAAGTCAGTGCCAGTGTTGTCATGGTATACAGGAGTCCTTATATTCAGGGCAGAAACAGTAAGCCGTCAATTTAAATAAGAATCGAGGCACTACAGTGAGTCTTATTTATATCAGTTTGAAGCAATGCACCTGTTCTTTATAATTTCAGAGAATACAGTACTAAAAAATGTCATGTGAAAGACACCAGAACTCTGAGAATACTGCATGTAAAAAATCTATCAGTGTCACTTTTGTTAAATTGCTGACTTGATTTGTTGGTTTGAATTTGGGGCAGATCACAGTGTGAGGAAAGAGAGAACAGCTCTGGAACATACAAGTGGAAGAGGAATTAAAGCTTAAAACCTTTAGGTGAAAGAAAAAGATATTTTAAAAGAGACCTTGAAAATGTAATCCCAGCCACGTGTCTAGAGTGCATTCTGCTGAAAGACTAGAGAAGCAGGAGAGGCCAAGACCAGAACTGCGATCTAGAAGGTGGCATCTGCGATCTACCACCTGTCTGTGGTTCTTAGAAATCTAAATAAAGTTAAGAAGGTCCAGCTGCCCTGGAAATATTACTCAATTTTTTCAGTTTTACACTGCAATCCGCAAACAATCTTTCCACAAAAAGGTAATAGGAAAATATTAGCATGTAAGAGGATAGTCATCTGGCTCCCAAACCACCTAAAACAGTGGAAAACTTTGGCACTTGAAAAAGGAGGAGCATTTTACAAGATTCTGAGATGGTTTAAAAGCACCTACATCAAGGGTTAGAAATTCTGTTTCATTTCAGCTGTGTTGGTGGCCTGCCAGTGTTTTGTAACAGTTCTGTTAATGTTACTGCTAGCAGTACCTTAAAAAATTGAAGACTAGATGAGTCTCAAGAACTTTAGAGCAGCAATGTTCTCTGCAATGAGAACAGCACCACCTCACAGCAAGGTCACTCACTGTCCTTTTGGATTCAGCTTTCCACAGGCTGCTAGTGGGAAGGCATGCAGGTTTTGCTGGGACAGAATTATGTTTTATCTTGTTATCAAAATGCTTCTTATGATAAGTTTTTATTATCTCTTCTCCTAAAAAACCTAAATTTGGAGGTTAATATGTCTGACACCAAGAAGCTAGACAATACAGAGGACAGTCTTCACCAGGAACTCAATTCATGACTGAAAATCAACAAGAATGGACTATTCCGTATTTCTCAATGAAAGATAGGTTCACACTTAACTTCGGAATACAGGCTTTAGTCTTTCTGAAAAGGAAGATGACATGCTTTTGGAAAACACGAATCACCTTTAAACAACATAGTAAACATTTTTCTACAATTTATTTGGCTTTTTCTGGGTATCTTTGGTAATCTTTGGTATTACTTTGTGGATAATATTTTGTTTATTAATTCAATTTTCTTATGCTTTTGGTATTTGAAGTCTGAACTAGATTAATACACACATAAGCTTTTCCAGTGTTGGCAAGAACACGGATAACTGTCTAATGAACAAATCAGTCATGTGACACCAAAAAGAAAAGTGCAAAAGGAAGAAGGGAAATATCATGATTTGTGACTTGGAAATAATACATTTTCACTTCTTAATTTCTCTTTCAATGTGTTATGTCCCTGAAAATCTGAAATACTGACTCCCTTTTTGCAAATGAGACTGAAAGGCAGGTTTCTTTCGAAGTTGTCCGGGCCACAGAAGTAAAATCCATAATGAAGGTCCTGGCAGGAGATGACTTTGCCAGCCAGGGCACAATACCTGAGCAAGGCGAGTCAAAGGTGGTCAGGTGACGGTAACAGGTGCTACCAACAGTTCAGTGACAGCTGGAGGAATATGAGGTGGCAGGAAGCCCATGCAACAAGCCAGGGTGCCACTGGTGCACACAGGGTCCTGAGAAAAAGGTGATTTTTCCTGACCTTCCCCAGACCATGTATCTAGAACTGAATGTTCCTCGACCCTAACCGGCCACCTCAGTTCCTCCTGCTCAATCCTATGCAGCTGGCACCCCTTCCTGTGCAGCTAGAAAAAAATGGTAAGGCCTTTGGTGGTGGGTGGAGATGTCCGGAGACAACATTAGGAGCAAAGAGCCTCCTTCCACACTAAAGAAAGGTCGGGACTCTGGGTCTGAACGCTCTTGCTATAGACCAAAACAGAGTCTAAACTATACGCAGCATTTGACAAGGCAACACAGCTACTCTGTATTAGCAGAGCTCTGAGACTTAACTCACGTGAAAATACCAACTGGTGATGCCAACTCTTTAGTCTTCAATAATAAAGTTGTTACTGTCAAAAAAAGGGGTAGCAATTTAAGCATTGACATGGAATCTGATCCTGGGAGGTATCAGAAACCATTCTCTGCCCTTAACTCCCATGGAAGCTAAAAGAGCTTTATCACCTGTTGAGGAAAACATTGCATGACTTCCTATCTTTCATAGCACAAGGAACTATGTGACAGGCAGAAATGGGTTTTTCTTTCAAAACTTGAAGAGGAAAAAAAAATAGATGCTTTTGCACACAGCAAGGTTTAAGGTGGGCTTTCTTCTGGTTCTCTAAAGCACTAAGGAGTGAATTAACCAGGATAATACTGCCACAAGAGCACTCAGCTTCTTGCTTAGCACATACTTTGCTGAACCATTGGGGTTTTGGTAGGTGACTGGAGGTAGAGGGTTTATGTTTGGACTGGATATAAGTATAACTTGCTACTGATAGTCCCTAAATAAGCCCAGGTGGGTATTGCAGGGTGAATGAAGAGAGAGCGTGGTGCAGCTGCCCGCCAGTGCCACAAGACCGGAAGGAAGGGTGGTGGAGGCTATTGTTTTAAAAGGCCCCTGTGTTCTCCCTGCTCCTGGGCCTGGGAGCAGATGAATTCACCTTTGGCACAAACCTGAATCTCCTTGTAGATAGTTCGACCTGTGTGAGGTTGCTCACAGGCCACAGGATAACAGTTCAACCTATAGCTTTTGTTTTTGTTTTCATTTTTGTTTTTCTTCCAGCTGCCTTCTGTAGGTGAATCTTCTTCTCAAAGCTTAGATCAGCCCCAGACTCTGTGTGACTGGAGCAACAGGTACTCTCTATCTTGGTTTCCTGGGCAAATATTAGATAGATCCAGTGCAAACAAACAAACAGATAAAAGTAATTTTCTTTTTTTAAAAAAAAGGAAAACTAATCAAAGATGAGTACTCCTTTCTACTGCCTGGAATAGAAAGGGAAAGATGGGTCAGAGGTAGGTAGAAAAGAGTGAACAGAGTCAGAACAGTTGCTTTCCGGCTCTTACGTGAAGTCCACAGTTTGAGATGTGAATAGCAGTACGTGACCCAGCTCTTCAGTCCTTGCTACCGCTGATACCAGATTATGGTGTTTGCAAACACAACACAAACTTACAAACTATGTGGGAAATAAGGTTGCTACTTACACCCAGCAGAAATCACAAACTACTCACAGATAGCTCAGGAGCAGAAATAGAAGCAAAAATTCCTATAAATTTGTCATTCGGCTCCAGTTAACGATATGACAGCATGTTAGTAATGGCTGCTTTGCTCATTTCTGCCAAGGGAATTCCACAATCTGTTCTACACAGGCCTCAGATTCCTCCAGGTTAATCTAATGTATGATCTCCAGCCTGAAAAGCTTAAATACTCACAGCTCTTCTCCCCAAGAAACAAACATATAATCAAATCTCATGCTTCAGGGACTAAGCTGATGGCTGCAGGCTCTGCAAGGAATACTTCCTCTATTTTATGGCAGTGCACAAACTGTGGGGTTTGACTGTCCTCTGACGCATTAGGCATTAGCTACTGCTGAATGCAGAATATCAGGCTTGGTAAAGCAATGTTCAGATCTAGCAAACACTCTGTTGCTATGTTTTTGTCTGAAGCAGTCCATTTTTTCCTCTAAATTCTAAGGAAAAGGAGAACTATTAATTGGAAATGCTATTTGCAAAGTGTGCTGAAAGTAAGAGCACTGAAAATGGCCTGATCTCTAAAAAACATGGCTGATTATCTAGGGAACACACCCCATGCTTGGAACCTCCTTTGGGATCAGGAAGTCTGCCGCATGTAAACAGAAACAGAGCTTTTATGAATGCTTTTCAATGACCAGATCTCTCTGAGGATTTGCTGTAGCTCCCAAGTTGTTATTTTATGGGCCAGTGACCAGATTGTCCTTATAGCACAGAAAGAAAGTAGTGCAATCACTGTTCGGTTTGCAGACTTCTGACACAATACTGCAAGGGAATGCAAAAGGCCCTTCTGTGGGAATAGGAATTCAGGCGTAAAAATACCTGTGGCATAGGTACACTCTCCTCACTGAGGATGCCAGTGCTCTGTCTTGCAGGAAATGCTTGGAAGATAGCAATTCCCGCTCATTTTCACAAAATTAGATTTCATTCCACCATTACCTCCTCACTATAAATTCCACTGACTGTCAGGACAAGGTGTGGAGCCTAGTAAAGACGCTGCAGCTAAATTATCTCAAGCAAGGGAAAAGCCTTGAATATTTTGCAGGACTGAGTGGCCCTGCTTATTGTGCTAGTCATAAACAAGCACAATGCGAACTTGCATCTGGGTTCTCAGCTTCTAAATATACTGAAACTGCCAAGGCAATAGATGAGATTTTCCAGTCAATAGCTGTTCAGCAGACACTTATTCTCTGATCAGTTTTAGACCAAGAAGGAGTAATATGGCCTTGTCACAGTTAAAGTTTGTGATTAGAAATAAACAATCTCCTTCTTCTGCCAGTCTTCCTAAAGAAGCAAGGCCGTTTGTGCTGACAGCCACAACAAAAGAGCAGATAAACGATTTGACCTGCAGGTTCATTTAATAGTTAAATACATATATTTTTTAACACTAGAAAGTCAGGTTTGCTAAAAAAAGACCTCAGCTCAGGAAATTCAAACTATCTCTTCAGATGAATTTAAACTTTTTTTACTCTTTCTTTTTTTTTTAATGTCTGGTACAGTTAATTAATCTTCCAGTTTTCCTTTGACTTTTTTTGGAGGTGGAACTCAGAACAAAATGCCTCATGGCACGGTGAGCCTCTGAGGAGATTATTTAAGTGTCTTCTCTCCTTTTAGGAGACTACTGGAGAAATTCCAGAACTGTGGTATTTCAAAGGAGTGTCACTGTGGCACATCTCTGCCTCAGCCAGACAGGACACCAGGGGTCTTAGCTCAGGGATGACTACAGCACAGGGGCAGAAGAGGACAAACTCCTCTGCAGGTGCCTTTTGCATCACCTGGAGTCTCACTCACTTTCTTCTAATTTCAGAGTTACAGGAAGAAGAATGACAGGGGAGCTCTCTGAAGGAATATTACTGCAGGTACAGAGACAGGAACATTTCCCCCCCAAAATCAACCTCAAAGTGTTGGTGTCATAGTCACAAAAATTTCTGACAAGAGAATTTTATCTAGGCTACCTACAGAGCTCAGAAGTAATGCTCTTTACAGGCAAATCACTGGGAAACATCATCGAAACTCATCATCAGACTTTGGCAGCTGTGTTGTGAGAGCCAAGACAAGACTGGAAGTGGAGATCATACATCCTACGGAGCTAGTGCCAGTATGCTGAAATATCATAAATGCTCATACTTCAACATGCCAGACTTGCATATGGACATGCTTGCTGCACGAGGGAGCACACATATGCTCTTGCACACACACACAGCATTAACTAGGCTCAAATATGTGGTGGCTGCTGATATTCAGTAGTAACTGAGCGGAGATGGTTCTTCCACTTCACAGAGCATTTTGAGATCTCAGTTTCTGGCTTCATTCTGATTGTGGGTGGAGGGGAAGGCCGAAACTTTACTATGCAAAAGCATCCCAAGATATCATTGTCCACACTTTTTCCCAGTTCTGAGGTGATCTAACTGGTGGGTTGCTGGGAAAATAGGATCCTTGAAGGATGGGGCTGAACTGTGGCTGGTCTGCTGGGCTCTGAGCATCCCCCACCCCAGCAACTCGCCTAGCAAGAAAACTGATAAAGAAGGAAGTGATGTGGCCCAAAGCTATGCTGTTTGTGCATAGATGTTTGCCTTGATTCCATTGGAATATAGTCCCAAGTTGACAGTCCTGGAGAATATTTCAGTTTCATAAAAGCATGTTGAAAAGCATGTTTTCCTGAAATCATTTCAACTAGCTCAACTTGCAAGTTTTCAGAGGAAGCAGATAAGAAAGCAGCTTACTGGAAAATTGAAGTTGTCTCCTTGGTGGCAGAATCATACACGGTGTGAGGAGTGCCATACTGAGCAGTAGGCTTCTGCAGATAGATAACACTAATTGGAAATTTTACCTCCCAGGCTTCCCACAAGCACCTGCAAAGACATCCCTAGTTTGCCTTTAGCTCCTGCCATGGTTTCTGTTTAATGCTGAAGTTTGTCAGCAAATGATTCCCTTGCATTTCCCCTGTGTAATTCTTCCATGTATCTGATGTCTCTCATCCCACACTTAACACCAGAAGTTGCATAGGACTGGAACGGTCTCTTTGCTATCCATGTGAGCAATGCCAGTCACAGGGCAGCTTTGGTCCCCGGTTGGAGTTCTGCAGTTCACAGACAGTAGATGATAACAACACCAAAGGTAAACAACGTAGTAAATCATCAAAAGACATAGCTGAGTGCATAATGTAGTGGACAATCCAAAATGTCCCATAAGTGCAGTGTAAGGGTAAAAAGTATATAACAGAAAAGTATGCTTTTTGATCTCCCAGTTAATAGCTAGGTCGCGTTAAGACAGCCGCGCGCAGAGGATGAAATGTATGTACAATAGCAGTAACCAGGATGTGAAAAACAAAGCCAAATGATTTATGAGTCTGATTCCCAAGTGATAAGAATGAACATAACAAAAATAGAATAGTAAATTAGTTAGACAGGAAAACAAATCACCTTGATATCAATTTGTAAAATAAATAAATTTTCAATAAAAATTGGAACAGAAGAAAAGTGCATTTTCACACATAGCTCAGAGATCACGTAAATGCCAAGTGACATGACAGTTGCTGAAATAAATGATCTTTTTATGAACAGCAGAGTAGTAAAGCAAGCAAAATAGAGGCATAAAATGGGTAAATTTCCAGTGTATTAGTTATTGCTGCCTCTGAGCTGCAGTAAATTACAAACTCATTTTTACCTTTTTTGTGTTCATGAATACATTTTGGGGACGGTTTTTCCACACCCTTCCTTCAGAACACCATTTTTTAGAGATTTATATTCTTCTTTAAAGTCTGTAAGTAAGAAGTACCCATGTCTCTTCCATATGAGAGGGCTGAGAACTCAGAAGAAACTATTTATTATGCATTTCTGAACTTTCTTTACATAAATTCTGTTATCTGTGCGCAAATGACTGCCATAAAACTTCCTTTTGTGTGGATATTTTTCCCCCTTACAAATGAAATCGAAGGTAAGTTTTCCTCCAAAACTGATGAACCTATCCACCCCATGGTTTTCTCCTTTTTTTTTCTTTTCTTGTTTATACTACAAAATCACAGTATGTTATCTTTATTTACTGCTCGCCTTGCCTATAAATAAAGGATGTGAGATAGAATGGATTGGAGTCAAAAAGATGAAAGATTTGTTTGAAATACCAGTTGACCACTCCTAAATGAGACCAGAAAACTAGTCAATGACTCTGAAAGTGAATAAATAAGTGCTGAGAGAAGAATGTTCATATCCACTCCTGATTATGTCCTCTACCATCCCAAAACAATGAAAGAAGAAATAAGATTAAAGTTAAGACTCTTCAAATTAAGATCTATCTCTGTATTCAGCACCTGGGTAGTCATTTATTTTGGTGCAAAGGACTGTCCTGTTTTGCATCCATGTGGCACTCATTCTTGCACTGAGGTAAACAAGCATCCAGAGAAGAGGGCAAACAAGAACCACATCCAGAGTTTTTCAGTGCATTTATTAGTTCATGTACAAAAATACAAAGGGGTTTATTCCTTCCTGTACTTGTATATGAGACATTCCTTAAAATGACAACACAGGAAGACAAAGATAACTAATATCTAACATCGCTTAAGTGTAACCTGAAAACATGCACTATTGTCCACTCTCTGTTTCAAGGCAGGGCAAGGGAACTCAATCTTGTCACGCTCCATTAAGGCACAATAGTCATGAGCTTTATTTAACCACACATTCTGTATCTGTTTTCTAGAGCAGTACGTAGATTCCTGGTGCAGATTGCTTCAATTTTCATGAGTTCTGTGGCTTCACAAAGAGCAAATCATCTTACCCAACCTGGATGAATCTTTTCGGAACTGAAGTTCTCAATCACACAATTCAAGATTTATTGAGAACAGATTAATGCACCATAACTCAAACCCTATTTAATTTAGCCGCATAATTAATGTTTAGTTCTGTGACTTTCACATGAAATTCAAAACAGGTGTTCCATACTGTTCAGCTAGAGAAAATAAGCCCAGAAAAAAGAAAAGCATCCTGCTGACTTTCATTACAAATCTCATTCGCACGGGCATTAAATTAATCGAGTAAAATAAGAAAAGTGTCAAACCTTAAGGATTAGTTTTTCTTGCTTCCCCTGCTGCCCCAATCTTCCTTTACCTTTACTGATCATTAAAGTTACTATATATACTGATAGTCTGCTATCCATGGAACAGGTACTGTGGAAAAGGAGGATGGCAAAGCATAACACCATTTTGAATTGAAGAGTCACTGCAGACTCTTTGGCGGGTTAGACAGTGAACTTATGCATCCAAAGGCACCCCAGTCTTGATGGTCTATGAAGGAGATTAGCTTATTTACTTTTTTGTCTCCTCAAATTGTAGAGCAGAAATGTAACTGTGACTGTAATTTTACAGACACAGTTGATATCAGTTTCCAATCACTATTGATTCAGACTGACATACATGTCTACGCCCTACTGAGTGCAAACACTGGGCTTTGTTACCCACAACATCATTTTAATATTTGGCACTTTGAGCTTTTTCTTTCCTGCTTGCTCCACTCTTCATTCTAGTTTGTTATGATTACCAATTATATAGATATGAATAAGAAAGCCCTGTAGAGGGAACCAGGGACTTTGTCTGGGTGTCATTTGCATTGTGCTTTCAGACTTTACAAGCACATTTTGATTCTTCTAAATGGGAAAAAAAAACCTGCATCAGTGACTGAAATTAATGGCAATGAGACAATTTTTTTTCTTTGTTGTATGACTCTAGAAAAGTTGTATTTTATTTCCTCCTGACGTCTGTTATCAATCATGCATGAGTCATGAAATCTTTTCATCAATATGACTGTCATTCACTAGATAAGCTGGATGCAGGAATCTACAGATCCTGTAAAGTTGATTCCCAGCAGTATTAATTCATCAAAGACTTCAAATGCTATTACAAGTTATTTTTTGAAAAAAACTTTCTTTTTCTTCCTTTCATTCCTGAGACCAATTGTTGCCTCCTGTATTATCTAAAGAAAATTTATGAGAAATTAAAACCTCCTTCAACCCCCTTGCTTATAATGATTTTTTTACATGTTTTAGAGAGTTTGATGATCTTTTAATTAGCTGTCTTGAGTCACATCATTCAGTTCATTCCTTCTCTCTCAAATCCTGAAGCTATACAGCAAAGCAGCTACTTGATGGGTAGCTTTGTAAAATTCATGATTTGGGATCTACTAATAATGTCTCTCAGGTCATCATTATCAGGATTTACAAGCATCATAAAGGTCTTAGAGGTAAACCAACCAGCAAAATATACCGTTATTTTAGGGTAAGTTTGTACCTAATACGGCATTTCAGCTCACACTGAAATTCTTGGGCATTAGAAGACGTAACATATTAGCATATAAGTGAAATCCGAGGGTCTATCTCCATTACCTAGTCTCATCATATTTCAAGTAATTAAGTGCCTTAGATTCTACAGTGAAAGAAAAAGCAAGAGGAAGAAACTTTCTAAGCAACCGATTCTATTTCAAGGGTAATAATGAAACTCCAGATTATCTCAGATTTATGGATCTATCAGTTCAGGAAAATATTCAAAATACAGTCCTTTGAAAAGTTTCAAACCTTAATAATTCAGTATTGAATGATAATAGATGAACGGAACATAAGAGCTATTTATTTCAATTTCAATAGATCAGTTATGAATAGAGTATATTGTTCAGCAATTGGACATTATTTAAGAGGAGAGATGGCATCTTCAGACATAATTCCATCTTGTACCATAAAGACTTTTAAACCTGAAGTTTGAAATTGAATAAAAATGGCAAGCTAGAGTAATTTCTGTACTTCTAGAATAACCTGTTCAAAACCATGTTCTATTTGGTTTGAGGCTACCTATTTCCCACTCCCCCGTTCCCAAAAAAGAGGAAAAGGAGTAAGTAAAAAACCAATGTGTGTGTCATGAAGAAAAATGATTTTGTTCAATTTCCAGAATCTGATTCAATGAAAATAGCAAATTAGATCATCCCATCTTGGTGTGGTTCCTTTGCAGGTGGAACTACAGTGCCACTGTGAAATACTGTAAAGGGAAGCATAAAAAAAACTATCTGCAAGTAATAATAAGAAAAGTCTGTGATTTTCATGGGACAGCCATTCCAAAATGCCTGATTCTATTGCATTACACATAATCAGAAGTCTTTCCATTTTCGTTTGCCTCCATTAGGAACTAGAGAATTTCCTCTTACTCAAATTAGATCTTGTTTTACAGTTTTAAGATCATATTCTCCTATGACCTCCAAAAGTAAACTAGATACAGAATATACCTCAGAAATAGCTTGAAATTTGACACAAGGTATAACCAGATCTTTTTTCACAGAATTATTTCAGTGGTCTCCATACAAGGATGAAGATTGTACAGGAAGTGTATGAGGGAGGTGAAGCAGAAATAGTTTTCCTTGCTTCTTGTTCCTTTTGTATACATACAGGTGTCATGCACAAAAGCAAGTGCAAAGGATGACTCATTGAAGAAAAATAAATGAGCTTTACTTTGCCCCTTATACTTACTTTTTACTAATTTACAATGTTAGTATGAACTTCTGAGATAATTTATCTTGCTATATTTTAGAAATTCAGGTCCTAACTGATCTGGGCGGTTAATGACTGGAGAACTGGGAAAAATTTCTCACAGTGAGAGAAATGAGAGAAAGAGAAACTAGACCTTCCTCAGCTGAACTGTTAATTTTCTTGTTTTGCATTGATTTTGTCAGTAATTAACAATCTTTGGTGATCATTTTTTTGAAAACAAAAAATTGAAGAGCTAATCTCCACTAGTAGGAGACTTTAGAAATCATAAAATACATTTTGTAGGGCCTCCTACAGGCCTGCTCACAAAGGCACATAATGCAAGCATTGACATACCGTTATCTTCAGAAACACAAATGGCCTTTTTCTTTCCTCACTGCAAATATCATACACATTTTAAGTAAATTAGATTGCCTGAAAACAAGAATCAGGTTTGCAAGTCTAATATAACTGTTAGGCCAATAAGAAATCTTAACTGGAAAGATTTTGGTGGCTTTTGATCTCATAAGAGAGTTTTGTGCAACAGCCGTGGCTTTTCATTGATGGTGGAAGAAAGGAGGGCAGCTGTTAATATGTGCCCCTCAGGGAAGAGATGGCAGGCTGATACTGGAATCATTTTAAGAGGAAAGAATAACAGCTTACAGCTGTAGATAGACACTGAAAGAGAAACTAAATTAAGCAATTAGAGGAGCAGAAGATATGGACCAAGGGCAAGAGGACCAGGGGACTGAAGAGTTACCTCAGGAGGGACTTTGTTCGGCCTAAACTCACTTTTATATGAGGGTAACGAGCACAGGCAGGAAGGCTAGCGGTATCTGCAGAACTTCTGAGTGACAGAGCTTGATGATCTTCAGTTCAGCTTAGTCCAGGGATGTTGATATGCTCATACGAGAGTTCC